ATCCTATGTGATGCCAAGGAGAATGACAAACTATTTGTTTTCGAAATTTGGCAAAATGCATCTCATTCATTCCTCGGACAGAAAGGACATAATGAAAGTGGGTTTAATCTTCACTTTGTGTGCTTCCGTATCTATGTTTCTTCTCTCATATCAGGTACTTGCTTCTGTCACTTATCTGGGCAACTATGAGGAACCTGACGATTTTTCATGCGTGATCAAGTTGTTTGATTATTTGAGGTTATGTGCCCTTATGTGTTAAGCCTTAAGACAATTCATGATCATTACACTCTTCTTCCTTTGATTGAATTTCATAGTAATTATAAGTAATAAGCACTTAACTTATAGGGTATGCTGCCCGATTCCCGCCCAGTTGACGTCGATGCAGCTGACGGTTATGTTGATCAAGTGTGTCTCAATTCAGTTTTTATCTACTATTTGATATAACAATCCACGAACCTTCAGAGAAATAATTAAAATTGGGACATAGAGTTTACTGAGCTGGAGCTTGTCTCAGTTGTTGTGTACAATTTGTTGCAAAGGCATCGATTTATTGCGAAGAAGTTGATGGCAGTGGGCGATATTTGGAAATCCAGGTAAAGAAATCCCTTGCTAGTTTTTTTTACGTAAGTTTGCTTATTTTTCTTGTTCCGATTCCAGTATCTTGTCAATATTATCCGAGTTTTTACGCAACGTCTGAAGCGGAAGTTAGACGAAGAAGATAACAGGGGTGGAGAAGATATGAGAAATCTTAAGCTTTTAATGGTAGCTAATAATGTAGGGTAAGTGAAGAACAATCAACTATGTCCTTTATTTTTGAAATGTATGCTCATTTCCACTACTTTGTTTAGATTGATTGCAAACTGTTTCTTAGTCAATATCTGTGACCTTCACGTCAAACTTCTACCGTCGTGGTCACAGCCACAGAAACGTCGACGTAAGTGTCCAAGTCATACTCGCTTCGTATAGATTTCTATCCGTAACATACTTCAGCGATACCGCGACGAAAAATTGTCATCGAGCCGAAAAAAGGAAGAGGAATGACTTTTGTATCGGATTGATATCCACTACTGTATCACACTTGGCATCTCGTGCCTGTTGCCATTTTAATTCTTTCAAGACCAACTCTTTCTCTTTGGTTGTTCACCCTTTTTT